GCGCGAAAGCTGCTGCGCCGTTCAGTCAGCAAGCACCGAGGATAAGCTCCGCTTTGACTTCCCCTCAGTAGCCTAGCGAGAGAACGAGGTGGTTGCTTACGCCGACCACCTCTACTACCTGTCCGTGTAACAGATTTTTCCGAAGGGGTGAAGCCTGCTGCCGGAGGCTGGTTTCCCTGGGAGTCTGGATCTCCTTTCATACACTGCTTATCTTACCGCTGCGTACCTCCGCCATCGTTGCCGGCTGCAGCAGCGTACAGCCAATTATACAGGAGACACTCAATCAGATATCCTATGTTCAGCATGGACTATATCCATCTATATGTTGAGAGAGGCCCTCCTCTCCAAGATCAAGCAATATTGAACAACGCTGCTCGTTCTCAGAGCAGCCGCGGCGCAGGCACCCCGCGACCCAGAGGTGATGGCTTCTGCCAGTGAAGCCCTGAAGCCCCGCGCCTGAGCGGGGCGTGCTGCCACTTACGTTCCTGACTTCTCTTTTGAAGTTCCTATTTTTTTTTCAGGCAGATCACTGAAATTAACTGCTGAAGAGGTATTTGTGTTTTATTTGTACCTTCAAAGAATTTATAAATATTTTCTTCCTCTTACAGCTAAAGGAACTGTTTTGAAATCCTCCTCTTTTTTTATCCCCCCAGGAACAGAATCAGCTTCCACCCATACTCTTCAAAAAACTCATTGCGCAAATTTAAGAAATTCTGAAAGCTCCGGGTGGAATGAAGTGCTCTAATACTCTCAGCTGTAAATATTGACTAGGATTAGTTTTTAAATAGTATTCCTTATGGCATTTATTTCGTTTCTAACAGCTATATTACTTCTGAGAGCTATGCGGCCACTTTTTAATGACAAAAAGCCTCACAACTTGTGCACGGGCTCGGGATTCAGCTTTACCTTTGTGGTAACGCCGTCAGTTTACTGTGCTATTTTGCATACTGTAACTAAGCAGCAAGTGGGATAAGCATGCTAAACACTTGCTGAAGAGGGGGAAAATAATTTCAATCACATTTGCATGGGGAAAAATGTCCAAAGATGTTACGGAGCTAGCAAACAGAAGGAGTATTCTTTTCAGTAAAAATGGATTTGAATAACGTTCACTTTTTTATAATTAATCATTCTGGACTATACTAGGCAATCCCTCTAGCCCATGTGTTAGGTAGATTGAATAGGACAGAAATACATGGCCATTCCCTATTTTTTCATTCTTGAAACAGAGCTTCAAAATAAAAGCTTGAAGCTGTACAAGCTGACGAGAATCCTGTGTGCTAGGTTTCTCACTCTCAGGTAGTTAAAATGGTTGAGAATGGAGGCTCAAGGGGAGAACAATCCAAAAGATTTAACATGCAGCTAATGTGTCCTAACTTTGAGGATTCAGAGTAGCATTCAGCAAGAAAAATCCATTTATAACTTCTCAGCAGAACCAGGAACCGAGGTTTCCTTTCAGAAATCTAACTTCCCTTTAGGAGCAGTTGGTTACAAAGCATCCTACTCATGACTGTGTGGCTTTGGGGGGTTTTTCGGTTGTTTGTTTTTTGTTTTTTTCTTTTTCACCATGAGAAGGGCACACGAGCCATAACAAAATGCATTTGACTCAAACAGTCCAGCCAGTTACTAGATTTTATTCTAAACAATTAAAGATTAATTTGGATTGCAAGGGAAAAAAGATACATCCTAAGCCAACGCTTACCTAACGAAAGCAAGCAACTGAAGCTCGGCAGCACTGAAAAGAATACCCAACTGAGACCAAGTATAGCTTCCACATACGTTCGTGGTCTGTCTAGAAAAGTCTTTGATGTTAAACCTCATATGGCACACTTAGCATTTCTTATAATTCATTTCCTATGGAAACTAATGAGCTTAAGGGTGAAATTACCTCATTGAAAGTCAAAATGGTGAAGTGTGAAGAAAAGAAGGATGACCTGAAAAGCAGATTTAGAAGCAATCTTTGCATATTAAGCATTGCTGTGGGAAATAGTATAATTAGTTTTCTTCAGAAGTTATTCCTTGGAATTGTGTAAGTGGTATTTCAGCTCCCAAACATCATGCAGAAAGAATGTTAGATAAAAATAGGTGGAAAAAATGCAAAATCCCCACACATTTTTTTTAAAAATCAAGAGATCCTTTCCTAACTTCCAGTAACACAGTGACTGTTGGTTTATTTTTAGAGGGCAGACTGTACAAAATAAGGCCCCCTTCCAGCAGAAATTTCTAAGAGGCCACAAGAAACCAGATTTTCTGAGCATAATTTAGAGTTGAGCATTCTTTTCTCAAACGCCTAACTCCTCCTACTTGAATCAACTTATTTCCCTAAGCTCTTGCCGTAGGCTAAGCCATCTGCACTACGCAGTTCCACTGAAGACTAGAAACTGATACAAAATGGATGGATTTTGTTTGCAGAATGAGCGAGTTAATGATTGATCTTTGAGTGTCAAATACCAAGTTTTTTCTATTAAATTGAAGGAAACCAGTATCAGAGCTTCAACACAAATTATCCTACACAGTTGCTGATTCAAATACTTGAGACACACCGAGGGCTCTCAGATTAACCCTGACTGTTGAGGCTGGTACCTTGTCAGCTATTCCAGCCGCAAAAGGCCGTACATTGTACTCTCTCTCGCAATCGCGCTACCATCTTTCTTTATTCTCTACAGAGGAAGGACTCAGAAGAGCCTATGCTGTGCCAGAACAGATCACTTGATAGGGCATAAATCCAAAATCAGCAGCTTCCTCAAACTAAATTAGTTACAAGTCATTTGTTGACATAATGGAGTATAAAACACTTAAACCCACCGATCTAAGTGCAGGGCAAGCCAAAACCATGACACATTTTAAGGTCTATCAGCTTGTCTTTGTGGCGTACAGAACACCACAGCATTTTCACTCCTGCATTACTTAACCCGAGTCTGAATTTCTCTTAAATTCAGTCTGAAGAACAAGTGACAGCTGGTTTAAGAACAGCAATAGAGATTAGCTACAACATTAAAGGATACCCAGTTTCAAGTATGGGAATGGCAGCAGCGCAACAATCCGAGGATACTGAACGGCAATTTGAAGCTTAACAACTCCGGCATCGCTGCCTTCCGCCTCAGACAGAATGGGGTGCGGACGAGTCCTCCTATTTACTCAGCAAGGGAAAAGTTCTATGCAGAAAAAGTTCTATTAATAGTAGCCATTTGAAATCTTATCATTTGTACAAATCACATCATTCTAAAGATGAACACAATGACAATCATTTTCTCTAGCCTGCTGTTAAATCAATAGTGGTATCGTGCTTGTCACTTCAGCGTTTACAGTGTTCCCAGAAATTAAAATAGTATCTGCTTTTTTAAAAGTAGTAAACTGTTTTTTTATGTACTAGCAACTTGAAGTCATCTTGTTGACAAAAATTCTATTTCATAGTTTTTCCACTTACATCATTTGTTATAAATCCTGTAGAGATACTGATGATCCTTTGTGATATCATGTGACACTTTTAAGACAGTTTGAGAGCCTTTCTTGGAATGACACAAAACCTCATGTCATCTGCAGTTACTACAAGTTCAAGGATGATATTTAGTTGCAAAATCTCAACATTCGAACAACTAAGAGCTTGACCAAGCATTAGCAAGTGTTGCATACATGCGGTTCTGTGGTGAGAGAAAACGCCACAGAAGAAAGAGAAACAGACAGCTTCAGTGAATTTTTTTTTTTTTTTAATTAATAACTTCTTAGTTCAGGAAAAAAATAAATCACAAAAGAGAACTGGAAGAACTACTCTCCACCTTCTTTATAAAAGAACTTTCTCAAAGAGAGAGACTATACACCTTGTTCACCACTATGTCAAACCCTATCATAATCACCTCAGTTTTCACAACATCTATTCTACCACAATTCATGCTCAGCTTCCAAATATCTCTTATAAAGGAGGTGGGGGTGTGCTTTAGACAGGTTAAAAATATGCTGCACCTTTACAGTATTTAAACAATTACACCAAGCATAGTTCATACATTTATCACATTAACTATCACCTGGTAACCATACATTTAAAAAGGTCTAATGTATAGAGTATGTAATACCCATGACAGATACTCTTACTTACTTAAGAGCATATAAAGATCAGGATTTATTCACCCTCCCCATCTGCAAGTTAATTTCTCATCTCTTCCTGGTACAATATAAATGACCAAAAAATCCCTTCATTCCATTGCACTACCGCAACCCTATATGCATAGAAAGGCAGATTAATTATCTGTAACAGGGAAAAGGAAGAGGGGTTTATAAAAGGAATCTGAAGAACCTCTACTGCACAGGTAGTTTAGATGTTAAGTACATGAGTTTTGTTGTTTGGGTTTTTTCCCCAATTGTTTTTTTTCTTGAAGTCACATAATACATCCCTCTACAAACATAACTTGAGTAAGTGCAAGTGAGGTTGTACATAGTACTGTAGACACATTATTCTTGACCAACAAAAAAAATTCAGCACAAGAGGCTTGAACACTAGCACAGTGACAAGTCTATGCCGAAAGCCCATCTGGGGTGTGGGAAGTGGTGAATGAGAATGCAAAGCACATTTCTGCATCTAATGTGCAAAGGCTTGATCTCCACAACTGCACTCAATTTGCTACATGCACAGCCAGAGATGAAAATGAGATCAAAACCAGCTGGGAATGGTTGTCCTGAGAAGATATAATAACCATTAAAAAAAAAAAAATCTAAACATAAAATACAAATACAGAAGCAACAGAACATTGTTAATAATACTAAAAGACAGAAACACACTGTTGTTGTTAAAAGAAGTTTCAAGTATTATTCCAGATCCAATTTCAATCCTACTCACAGGAGAAAATGCCCAGAGATTAGGAAGAGAAGTCCACACCAAAGTGTATTTTTAATAGCATACGGGCATGGTCAACAGACCCATCCTTGCGACAGCTATTTTAAAAAATAAAAATCTAAACAGAAATGCATCATTCTAATTAGCATTCATATTAAGTTGTGCATTACTGGAAGTAGTTGTTTAATTCACTGACACCAGTAGACACGATGTGCTGCATCATTTGTGCTCCGTTATATCACAAGATATTGTGTGTATGCTTTTTAGCATCGAAGTATAAATCCTGCTCATAAAATAAGGCATACTTAAAAACAACATGGTATCTACAGAGGTAATTTTGTATGCTTTCTTCTCATTCTGTTTCACTCTTCTAGGTGTGATGAAAAAGAAAAATTGGTCCCAGTTGAGGTTTGTCAACATTAGGTACCAGATTATGATGAAGCAGATCAGATCATAGCAATCTGGGGGGGGGGGCGCTTGGGTTTTTTTTTTTTTTTTTTTATTAGGCTTGGGACACTTCCTGGATGAGCTCTGCAGAAGGCATGAAAATAAAATCTACGTTTTTTTTGTGTCAGTGACACCAGTGTTCCCCTTCATCATCCCTATCCAGAAATGCCCCCGTATTGCTACAATTTGTCCAAACTGAATTATTTTCTGTAAGATTGTTCCTTCCAGTAAAGCTGCTATATTCTGTTTTAAATTATAGCTTTTTCTACATTTTCACCAGTGTATGCATGCTAGAGAACAGCTGCATGGCAGAGGTACATATTTAGCATATGGTATCAAACAAAAAAAGAAATACAAAAAGTGAACCAGTGTGTCCTACTGGCTGCTCTATGTCAAAAGCACTGTTTGGTCTTCTGATATAAAACACTACAGAAGTAATATTAGCGGAAGTCTGTCCTGCTTCAAGTATTACCCCAACTTTAAATGTGATTTTCAAATTTTTGTGCAATTATTTTTGTAATTTAATGTGAATAAAAACATCAACACAACTAAACTAAGAAAAGAAACTGTACTACTTCCACTATAACACTGCACATATGGTAGAAGCTTTAAGTTGAAACAGCTGTTTAATGGACGGAATTTTTTTTTAAAGTGAATATTAACGTGGTTTCTGGCCCAAATGCAATGGGTAGCGACAAAATATCAGACTACCGCAAAATGCAGTTACAAATATACACTGACAATTTCCTTCTTAAATATTAATGGCTCTTGAAATATCCATCAGATACTTTTACAAAACATTTCTATTTTAAGTCTAAGGATTTTTCTTAGTTTCTTCACAAGTAGTGCAAATACACTCCTTATTCTTAGGTCTTCCCAAGATATGGCTGGTTTTTGTGTGTGTGATTTCCGTTTCTGTTCTTCACTGAAGTGACACAGGGACACTGTAGTCATGAGGATGGAATGCAATGCTTGCTGGAACTCCTTGGAAAAAAAAATCTACCTTATTCATGTACAGCTGTAAAAGTCTACAAATGAAAAAGTTCACACCAGATTACCTGATGCAAAAGTTATTGATTCCCTGCTATGGGGGAACTGAGAAGATCCCCTGAAACCTTAAACTGTACAAGCAGTGTAACAGGTTTTTGTCTCCTCTCTACAGACTACAAGTATTCAGTTCTTGAATCGTGTTTGTTCACAAATGTGATTGAATTTCCTGAAATAAAAAAAACCCAAAAAGTATTAAAATGTAACAAACTTCTCAGAAGTCAGGCAACAAAAAAAGAGTCAGCATCTTTCACAGGGTATTTTAAATGTTAAACAGCTTAAAGCAGAACATTTACATGCTAACATATCTGTTTTTCAGAACCTGTTTGGATCGTACCCTACTACCATGTTATCTGTAACAGGATTTTCAACATCTTTCCTGCCTAACCCTTGTTAATTTTATTACGCACACAGAAAACCTGTTATTAAAAGCATTCATCTATACTTCTGCATACTTCAAACCCAGAAGGCAATTAAAAGAGGAAGCAGTGAATTAATTTTGCCCTGTGAGACATTAGTAATTTTTAGTAGACAGCATTACACAAGTCACTCAGAACTAGAATTAACTAGCCTAATAATACGTTTCAACATAAACATGTTCTTTCACTGGCTTAGAATCTTCTTCCGGAAAGAAAAGAAGTTTTTCTCGTTCCGTATTATTTAGGTTTTATGGGAATAGCAAGCCTGCCTTCATGAATTAAACAGATAACACAATTTTGTGCGAGGCAATTCGGTCCAAGCCTCAAAGACATCTCACTATCCATTCTGTTTTTCTCTTACTTGGGTTATGCATGCCCTGACACATAACTGAAACAGGAGTTGGGGTGTTGAGTGTGTAAATACATCTACGGAAGAGATGACGCAAAAAGAGACCATGAATTTTCTCCCTCTTGCTGAATTAGATCAAAGATCAGAAAGAAACCTTGCTTACATAACGAAACTACTTGGCAAAACAGTTTAGCTCAATAAAAAAAAAAATACCATAACTGGGTACCTAGGAGTGGTATAACAGGATTGTTTGCTTTTATGGATTTTAGGAACTAAGAGCAGCAGCCAGTAAAGTTCTAGGAACAGCTAATGCTTGAAAGAAGAAAGGAAAAAAAAAAAGGGGAGAAGAAAAAGAGGAAAAAAAAACTGAGTCATTTCTATTCTAGATAGAATTATCCACCACAATATGAACAAAGATGACTGGTGAGTACTTTGATACTGAATTAACTCTCTTAACATTTGAAAACAAAATCTCCTCTGGGAACACAGACAGTCCTGTAATGTGAAGTTACAGATAGCAGTGGCACTTTGAATTACATCTGCAACTTAAATCCCAAATTACTTTTGAAAGTTATTTGGTAAAACCCTCTGAATTTGTAACAGACTGGGGATGAATATTTTACAAGTCTTTCTTATGATCTGCTTGCCTGAGCTGTACAGACTGGTTATTTTCAACCCACAGTACCTGAAATATTAAAGGAATTATGTTAAGTGTGTATGTTCATTGCAGCATTAGAAAGATACTGCAGATTCTACTATTCATTAAAGCAATTTCTCAATAAGGGGTAACAGCTCCTCTATCTTAAATTGCACTGAGAATGTAGAGAATTATTCATAAAGCAAAAAGGATTTTTCTACCCTCCCTGGAACCAGTTAGCTCTTAGGTAGATAATTTTTGTTCTGTTTTACAAGTCTTTAATATTTGTCTTACCACACATGCATCTTTTCGTAAGAATGAAATTGCATTGGTTATCAGTGGCCTTGATTTTTTTTTTAATCAAGGACCTTGATTTATTTTGGATGGACGTTGCTCACGAACAACCAGATACCAGAAGTCCATGTTCCCTAGATGTATTAAAACACTTGAGAAGTAGAGGGCTAATCTCTTTTCAGGCTCAGTATTTCATTTTCACCATATGCCAGATTGCTTGGGTCAGAGGCATAAGACCTAGAAACATCTCCAAAACCAGGAACTGCTAAGCCACACCAGGTTCCTAGTGTTACATGCTCCAAACTTCTCATGCTTCTCTTATTGCAAATTATTCCCACCAATTTATTCCTTCAAAGCATGTTGCACTTCACTAGAAGAGTCTCTCAGTTTCAAATGGAAATCGCACAGGGCTAATTATTGTATATACAATGTTTTTAAGAGGCACCCAGACATGAGCAAATGAGCAGCTGCTTCAGTGGGAGAAGAATAGGAATGAAGTTGTGGGTGGAAAACAAGACTCAAGAAGTGTCAGCAATGGGTTACATCAACTTACAAGTGCTAGCGGTGCCCTTCTGACATGCAGGAAGGGCTCATTTCAAAGTTGTATAAAAACAAAAATGACAAAAAAAACCAAACCCCAAAGCTCACCCAATTTTGCTTATGCTGCAACAGTGTTACTCATTCAATTTCTGGCATGTCAAAGGTTGGGGGGTTTGTTGTTGTTTTTTTTAGAAAGATACAATTTAGAAGGTGGTTTTGGTTTTTGTATAACTTACATGGCATGATGTGCTTTGACCTGAGTTCGACAGTTGCGCCCCCAGTAGCAGTCAGGACGTGATGTGACAGTCACTACAGAAAGAGCAAATGAATGCTACCTTTATTACAGAAGTCATTAAATAAGGTGATGTAGATTATTAAGCCACTGCTAATGGTGGTTACTCAGAGCAGTCTTTGGAGAGAAACAAGACACGATTGGCAAGAAACGACTGTAAACTATGTTTGTTCACCTTTCTAGAAACAAAGCAAACACTTAGTGAAGGACAAGAAAATTCATTCTGAATATTAGGCTCACGCAGACTTATGATGAAAGGCTTTGGTTCTCAGTGCTATCAACTGAAATTTCACCATTTAGTTTAATACAGATGGACTTTAAAGACGCTGGGCATATGTCTATATACGTTTCCATACAAAAGAAAAATGTATTAATTTGGGTAGAGTTTGTTCTTCCCCCCTGTTACGTTACAAACGTAACTCAGCTGTCCAGCAGGCTGTTACACTAAAATGAAAAGCACTACTAAGGAGAAACAAGGTAGACTGACTGTCTCTCATTATGCACAGCAGCAGAAGCAGAGGTCTCAACAATTAAGGACAGGGAAGCTGTTGCTAACAACAGGAACTAGATGGACAAAAGTAACATTTAAAAGTAGACTGTTGGAAGAGCTGCTCTTCCCAACGGATTTAGGATTGAAGGAGGCACAGTTGCTTGCATGCTATTTTATACTAAAACTGTAAACGTAAACATACTTAGAATTAATTTACAAAACCATTCTTGTTCCTAGTTGAGTGCTGGTAAAATGTGAAATTGTTCAGGAGGTGCATCATTTTATGTATTTAAATGGGAAAATAAATTTAATTACAGCGACTAGTTCCTGTTGACTATATTCTGGATTTTACTGATTTCCTCTTTTCACTATGCAGATAGATTTATTCTACAGATGAGAAATCATACTGAAAGAAAAGATTCCATTAGGGAGTCCGACAATAACCATATGCAAACTTAGCAGCTGACAAGTAAAGCAATCAGCATAAGATATTAGCCCTGAAAAGAGATTTGCACTGTGGCTACATGAAGGTGCTAAAAACCCAAGGATACAAGGATAAAGTTGACTTTAACTCTTCAAATGACTTTTCCCCCCTTTCTGTGCAAAACAATCCCCACCTGGCAATTCAGCAACAGGAATATTCTGCCTGTACTGGTAGGCAAGTTCTCGAAAGCTGCGAAGGCCACAACAGTAGCAAAGCACTGTGTTCCCAGTAATTCTGTAATCTGGGGAGAAAACCAGTTTGTACATAATGTCAGCGTAAGGCTTGAGAAATCAGATTTAACAAAAATGTCACGATGGCACTGGTTATGTCCACAGAACTTCAAACCTCTTGGTAATGTTACTGAGTTATATATAGACAAAGAGCTATACCTGTACAAAAATGAACATAACACATACCTGACAACATAAAAACTCCTCTTTGAAGAGCTAAGAGACTTTCGTTTAACATATTTTTCCATGTCAAACCCCTGGATGCCAGGTAATCCTGAAAAGAGCAATTTAAGTGTTTAATCTAGAAAAATCTCCAACACTAAAGAGTGACCAAGCCATTTACCCTCAAATATTTCCAAATCTAGATCTAACTAGGTTTTCATAATGGATTGATGCTGATTACAAGTAGAAATTAAGTATCTTTAACTTAATTAGCATGATACTTTCAGATCACCAAAAAACCCTTCCACTCAGTATCTTTTTTTCAGATCCCCGCTTTTCCCAAAGGAATGCAAATAGATTCATTTCAGTCGCTCTCATTTACCTTAAATCAAGATTTCATCTCGTTTACCTAATTTAGATAACCCCGTTATAGTATGGACAAAATATTTTCCATGCAACCTAGCATAAAATTTAACTTGTCTGGGAAAAAAAAATATTTAACAATCTTTGTTTTCCTGGTATTTTTTTAGTGAATTATTTTCCTCTTAATTAATATGTTGGATGTTACACTTCAGACTGTAGAAACCGGCTTCCCTAACAAATAATTCACACAAGTAAAATTCTTTTAGGATTTAACAATCAAACCTATCTGAATTCTACAGTGTGTCTTTCAATCCTTTAAACTCAAATTCAGAAGTTACGTCTAGAATTTTGGCCTTCTTGGCACCTGTCAGGCATACACATTGGAGAAATTAAACATCAGGATTGCATGAAAGTGATTTTTTGTTGTTGTTCATTTGGGTGGTACGGGAAGAGCTGATGCTAAATGGAATGCATCTCTAGAACACAATGCTCTCTTACACAGAGGCTGCAAGAGCCCAATTATCACCCCAAAATACTTCCAGTCTCTACACAGTAACTATAACTTTGGTCCAGCTGAACGTTCGGGGCTCAATAAATTCGCCTTTTAGAATCAGGTGCTGCAAGTGACACAATGCTGCCACTGTAACTGTTAGGCAGTACATCACTATCATTTCATGAGCGAGCACATCTTAAGCTTTGCACATCTGTTATTATGCATCATACATAATGATTTTTTAACATACCTTTAGGATATCTGACTCGTAGTGGTTGTTATTTAGGACTCCATCTAAACACTTATCACCAAGATTTATTTCTAATCAGAACAAGAAGAAGAAAAGTTACTATTTCTTCCCCCAAGCCCATGGCCCTCACACACTTTCTGAAGGTTCTTCTGTTTCCTGAAATAACGTGCACAGACTCATGTGAGCACCAAGTAAATGACTGGATTCAACACGTGAGCACCAAGTAAATGACTGCATTCAGCATATGCTAAAGCATGTGATTTATAACTTCCAGTGGCAAAGACATTGAGATTTTACAATTTCACCTTTAGTCCACAAACACTACTACTAATCTGCATAAATTAACAGTGCTATTAAAGCATATTCCATTAGCTTCAAACTGCAGCCAAGTCATTTCAGCTGTTCTAATTTATTTTTAAAAAAATGCCTAAAACCTTGAGTTTCAGAAGTCTGCATGTTTAAGAGGGTAAGGTTCTTTTCTAATCAGTTAAGATCAGATGTTCAGTGCTCTTGCATTAATTTGTATGATTCTCTTACTAGGCTGAAATACACCATAATTCTTTTTATACAGGAAAGCATTGTCCTCAATAACTGTAGTTTCCATGCCCAATATGGTATGAAGACAAGAAGTTAAACCCTCTCAAAGTTAAGACACATACCACTCAAGAATTTTTTATGTCTGTGATGTGAGGACGCAGCCTTTGTTTCCTTTTGCATGCCTGCGCTACAAATGAATCTATTATATTTCTTACATTACCTAAAGTTCAAGACAGACAGACATTAGTGCAAAGTGAGCAGGCTCATAAGAAACAGATTATTTCACAATACCACAGAACGGTGCCAAACAGCCAAAACACGCCATCCGAGCGCAGCCCCAGTATAAATGACAGAAGGGTTGCAGACAAACTGTACCTGTAAAATAACAAAAAAAACCCTCTAAGGAGCTGCACACAACAAAAGTCAACAGTTATTGTTCTTATAAATCAATAACAATAGAGCCCTGATAAACTTGTTAAAAAAAGTACAACTTTCTCATTTAAAATACATTCCATAGAGGAATAATAAATTTTATAAAGGAAGATTCTTTCATGCTGTCACTACAAGAGTCCAGATAAAGAATATTCAAATAAAGAACACTCTTCAAAGTAAACTTAAGTTTAATTAAAAATAAGGAGAGACTTAGTTCTGTAGTCAAGATTAAAAAAAAAATAAAAATTTAAAGAAGTACACACATTGCTGAGGAGCAACATGAGGATTCTGTTCACGCTCTGCTCTTCGGTCAGGCATTGGCTGAAAGCAGCAGGTGCATATTACGTGGCTTCCTTGAGCAGGACACACATATTCCTGGACAGCTAGATGAGTTAAAAACAGAAAAAAAAGCACAGACTAAACAATGTACACAATTGCAATCTGGACTAGGAATCTTAGCGAATATTAGCAACATAAAAATCTGAAAGTAACAAGGAAGCAGTATCATTCTTACAAAAATTCTATAGAAGAGCAGAAAAACGGCATTCACACTTCTAAACTATGTAGGTGTGTAAAATATTTCAATATGTAGAACAGTTTATGAACTACCAACCATCAGCAACCTATTTTGGACAACCACAGAAAAACCATGGTCAAATCTCACGATATTTGCGAAGACACCCATGCGAAGTGGTGCTACTCTCGCAGTACTACGAGAGTGAGCTTGGTTAGTTCATAACGGATGTTTGCGTTGTAGTATTTTAGTCTCACACTACGGAGAAGATTTCATGACACTGACCTGCAGGGAAGTTGGCAGATGTAGACGGAGCATCTCCCAGTGCTTGCATTCCTCCCGCTTCTGTCTCTTGGCCTGTGCCAGGCAGAGTTGGAACAGAGTGTCTTCGATACCCTGGGCACTGTCTGCATACTATATATGGTTGACTGAAAGAACAAAATAAGGTCATAGGAAATCACACCCAACAAATGCAAATATAAAACTCATCCCTATGCTAAACAGGGTTGGTCATACTTTCAAAGTTTAAATTTGGAATTTCTTCATCCAGTAACATATGGAAGTTTACATAATTCAGTACCTCACAGCTGTGAAGACTGCTGTAGTTGTAACAGATAAAAACGTTGTATTTTGTAGTATTCCCCAAGAAAAAAGAAAAAAAGAGCAGTGTGACTGGAAGTGAGATGAACAAGAAAGAGAGGAACAAAGCTGGAATAATTATCTACATGAAGAGTTCTTCTGTTCCCCTCTAGACATAGAGCAAAAAATGTTTGCCATTGGAAGTAGAGAGGAGATATTTTGGTGCCTGGGAATCCCTAGGTCAAGCATCAGCTGCTTCAGTACCATACACCTGGTGAAAGCAGCATTCCAGACACATAAGAAAACACCATCATTGCAGCTGTACTCATAGGGTCGTGGACTGCTTTGTCTCCTGACAAGATCTTAGCCAGAAACCTGTCTTCTCTTAAGGCAACAGACAATTCATAATTGGAAAAGGTCATTTCACATATCTCACATGAAGTTGTTGCACAATTCAGGATAGCACTGTTGGCCATAAACTGAATCTTGCTGGACTTCTAGGGAGGTAATTTTAATTATTTTCTGTTGACTGCTCAAGGTTCAGTAGGATGGCTAGTAGAATTGCCAAAATAATTACTGGTAAGAATGAACTTACCTGAAAACAAAAATAAGATTCATTCTGGCAATGATCATGGAAACACTCTCAGCAATAGCAGCTTTTGTGAAAGTAGCTCAGTTTGTGGGTTTGTGCATTCAAACGTAAGTAAATCTAATTCAGCGCACAACTTACAGACATACCTGATATCTGAAGACTCACTATCTACATCTGACAATTCCAATAAATCTTCAGAACTTCCTTCCTCGTCTGAAAAAGATCTCCGCACCTTAGGTTGCAACATGTCTTGAGTAATTTTGTTTCTAGCATCCATGCTACGTACATCATCTTCATTACGACATTTATCTAGCAGGAGAACCAAATTCAAATTTCAAGACAAAAGAACACCTCACATCCCTTATCCCCACCCTACTTTAATAACACAGTTACGATTATTGTGTTTTCATTTCCACAAAACTTATTTTTTGATAACAGAGTTCTAGAAGATCTTAGTTAAATTCCCCTCTCTGTTAATGGAAGCGTAGTCTCAGGCAACTTAAGTTTTATTTTCAAGAAGCCATGATGAAAGTTAATTAAATCCATATTCAAGTGTATTTTTCAGAAGTATCTGAGCTTAGGTGGCCTAATCAGTCAGTGTGCCCTATTTGATAAAACTGATATCCTTCTCATGATTAAGTAGCAAAATAAAATTAAGATTTCTTAGCATACTCAGTTATAGTACTAAATCACCTTCAATTCTCACCCAGTATTTGAAATATTACAAGTTATTATGTCATATTAAATGCACTTGTTTTCTTAACAGCCATGTCAGAGAAAACAGCAGAGTAATAAAACACACATAGCCATTTAATAGACAACAGTGTGTGCATACATCAATTACGCAGCTAACGTGTGAAATACATCAGATTCTGTCACACACTGTTCAACTTGCCTGGATGCTGAATCAGATAAGCTTCAACCAAGTTGTTCAATATGTGATTTTTACAAATACGTTCTACCGGACAACGACAAGTTGGACACAGAGAAGATCTTTCCATCCACCCTGAGTAGCAGGCAGCACAAAAAGTATGCATACAAGGCTGCAAGCTGGAAAACAAACATGAAAACAATGAAAGAAAGAGTCAAAACACAAATCTTTCATTTTTCAGATACATTCGTAACACTCAAAAACCTGTTTAGCATTGATTTGACTATATAGACTGGGAGAGAAAAAAAGGGGTCTCAGAAGGGTTTGTGAAAACCCTAAATATCCTGGCATGCTCAAACAGTTGTCACTGGACTTATTATTACCACCACAGGATTACAGTTTTTGTCAATCATACATACCTTACACAGTCATGCAGCAGTTCTTGGCAGATAATGCAAGTTAATGTTTCTTCCATCTTATCTGGTTTCACATTTGACGTTTTTGCATCTTCAGAGCCAATTTTAATTATACATTCACTTGGAGCTGCTGGTGAAAGATTTGGACAAGCATCTTCATCTACAAAGACAGAAGATGCCACAGTATGTAGTTTTTGAAGCTTTTTTAAATTTACTTTAAGTGTTAAAAAAAAAGACCTGAAAGATATACACTGATTCCCTTTTCACTGGCAATGGTCCCACTAAAGGCTCTTGCTTCACACATAACAGCTCCTGCTACTGAAGCCATTGTTTTCACTGGATCAGAAATCAAGTCAATAAGAAACAAGAAACAAATTGAAGAAGGACTGATGACAGCTGACCTGGGGAGGTGGGGTGCGGAACAAGAGGGAAGTTTTGCTTTTCTTATTTAATACAATACTAAAACATAAAATAACATTGTAAGGAGGAAAACAGTCACCTATCCCCTACTAGCATACCCTTTCAAGACCTTCTAGGTTTGATATGCATGCGTTTTGAATTTATTTCATATTAATAAAGAAAAATAAGCACAGATGCTTATGTTTCTGTTAATCTCATTGGGCTTCTATGAAAAATGGACATAGCTTTAAGTCTCTAATTAGGCTTTTTAAACTAACTCTCAACAATAACATTAAAATAAAACAGTGCAGGATAGGTTGTGCAATACTGTAGTAAACTAGCCTCCTTTTAGTTTCTTCTTTGCAGGTTCCAAACTCTCCTCCTCCCCTGTCCTTTGAGCATCTGCATCTGCTTTTTCTTTGTCAGTGATTTCTGAAGTGACTGCAGAAGTTTCAGTATTCATATCCAGCTTTTCATGTTCATCATCCAGTGCTCTTAGACACACAGGTTCTAAGATGGGGAAAGCAGGCACAGGAGTGAAAACTGAGGATTGTGATCCTGCAAAATAAAACCAGAAACACGAACATAGCTGCATACAGATATGGGACATGTGAAACAAAAGGTACTCAAACACTGATGATGCACACACATCAATCCAAACACCTGAATAGGAAAAAGTGGAGCAAAAAAGCAATGTCTGCATAACTATACTACATGCATTCTGAGCCAATCTGACTAATTGGAAGACCTGGGGGGAAAACAAGGTATTAGTTGTGTAACCCTACTTAAAATCCTCATCCCTCTTTAAATTGTAGAGTCTTTATTCATAGGACTATTGTCCACACCAGGTCTTCCTGACAAAGATGCCAGGCAGAGGATTTGTGCAATATTGATCATACGTAACAGGTCAGGATCACAGCGGAAGGCAAAGCTTTGTTCTCATAGGAGCATGTTTAAAAAGTCCCAATTACCTGTTGACAAATGCTATTTTCTAGATAGCCATTCTTGCTCCGGTTCTATTTTAAGAGTTACACAGCACTGTGGTATTATACTTGCCAACATAATGCAAGATGCTAGACTAGGGATCCATGTGGTATATTTTGGCCCTTTAGAGCTCTAAGCAAGGGAAAGGGGACTGGTGATTGGCGGCAGTAACAGTGACAATTAGAGCAGCTTCTCAGAGTGACTGCACGAGCACTCAGATCTACTTACTTTGTTATATGAGCCACATACATTTGCTAAGCATTCACCAGTGCCCCACCACAAAACTGTACTGTAAAGATAGACCAGCTTGGGATTTATGTGCGTTTTCTGCCCCTCTCAGCATAAGCAATTCTCACAATTGCCTTACTCATCCACCTGGATTTCCCCTGCCTACTCATAGAGAGAAAGTTAAAATGCACATACCCACCTGGTACTTTCACTAGAACTTTACAAAGCAAATGCTAAAGACCCAGTTAGGGGTAAGAGATTAATCTGTTAAAATTAAAAACTGGAGTAACGGTGGATGGGATATCAAACTTTAAACACTTGACACAACTCTGAACAGATGCAGACTCAATAAGAGAGGTAGAAGCAGCATTAAAGAGGTTAGATGTAGAAGTAGATGGCTGTGGTTCCTCATAGCAAGACTGAGTAGCTGATGGTGATGAGGTAATTTGGGTCTCATCATTACTTCTTCCTGTACTTGAGGTATCTTTGGTCACATGGCATTGGTTTTCTACATTAACTTCTACAGTTGGAAGGGGAGAAAGGAAAGAAAGAGATCTCTGTGACAGTCACCACATCACGGCTTCAAAATTCCAAGGAATCAAACTCTCTCAAGAGGGTTACATTAGTCATTGGAGCTTAGCTCCTCTTCATGGATCTTGAATTACTTCCTTACCTACTGGTTCTTGAGTTGCATCATGTTTTGTGTTTAAGGATTCATAAAGATAAGCAACATCTGAAAGAGGTTAAAAAATATTGATCAAAATCTTTAAACAAAAATTCACTAACCTTAATCTCGCATAAACAACTTCTATTCACAAGTGACTGCCTCCCCAAAGTGCCTGACAATGGAAGAGGCAAGTGAGGGGTCACCGCTATAGTACAGTGTTAATACTCCTACTTAGCAGGCAATTAGGAACAGCACAGCAAGATCTTTTCTTCTCAGGAAAACAGGCAGAGCAGCTTTTGTGTGACGTTTAACTTCTGCCAGCCATGGAACCAGAGGCTTAATCAATTTCTTAAACCTAAAATCTGCCCTGTGTCAGAACAAACTGTATTTTTACTGACACTTGGAAGTTCTTCGAAGAAGCTTATTCAGAGCTCACTTCTCAATTTCATTTCTTTATGAGATACATGAACTCTCAAAAACACAGATTAAGACACACCATAAGTTTCATCCAGAAACTAATTTAGTATCTATTAATAAAACCAACTGTATAATATCCCTTTCTTCTCCATCTTATGTCATCCTAATACAGTTGCAAAGATTCCCCTGACTTGCTACTTTTTTTGATCTCCAGCCACCTAGAAGCAAATAAGACTCTCTTAGTTTGTAGCAACCCTTTTTCTGATCGAAATTAGAGTATTGTCTCCTTCAGAACTACTCAGAATGGCCAAATAGGCATGCCAGATCTAAATTCTCCCTCTGTCTTTAAAGATGGAGAAGCTGAAAAAGCAAAACTGGAGGCTTGGTAACTCAAATACTTGTTAACCCAAACAGAAATCAGTGATTCAGTTCATTACAAAGTACCTGGAAAATGCGCGTGAGTTCTTCCAAGTAGCATCAACTGCAATAGTGATATCTTAGAAGGATTTGGGAGATAAACAAGCCAGCCAGCCAGCCAAACATAGCTTATCACTGCTTCTTGTAACATTTACATCAGACAGCATAAATCTGTCTGTATATAAATGAACAGCAGCTTCATAAAGGAAGTATTTCAGTACTGGGTATGTATGTATCTAGAATTTTTTAGATTAACAGTTCATGTGTCTGTTACTGTACAGTCTTGTGTTTTACATTAAATATCACGCTGTAAATGTACCTCATACTACACCCTCCCATCTCCCAGTACATCCAATTATCTTCACAATAATAGGGGAGCTTATGACCATACAAAGTCCGTCTGTTCACCTTAAAGTTCCGCTTCAGAGCTACCAAGTACAGTAATGAGAATTAACATTTAAAAATGCCTCTTTCATCTAAAGTCTTTTCCAGAAAGTGAGCGCTCTCTGCTAAAATTTAAATATTACATATTTCGCACTTAAAAGAAGAATTGCACGCTAACAGGCAGAGCAGTCGGCTGGGGCACAACAATACATATGTAAAAACAGAGCTTGCCCATTCCCTCTCTCCCCTCCATTTATCAGAGTTGAACCCCATCTGTTATTCCATAATAATGAGCAATTAAATTATTTCTGTAAATCTTTTCAGTCAGCGTTGGATTTAATGATCCCATATAACTGAATGAAATGAAATGATACGAAACGAAAAGGTATGAAATGAAAATTCTGCTGCCTCAATAGTTATCATTTCCCAAATCATTTATGAACATCTCTAAGACACATGACAACACATATCATTCATGAAATCTTTTATTAATTTCGTTCCATTGCAAAAACTGAGCACTTACACCTAAACCTTGGTCCCTGACTTCTACGCAGTTAACACATGAAAGGACATTACTTCCTGCCCAACAACAGCTTGGCTTATTTAAAAACCTTTGAGGAAGGACCACCATTAATTTTTACTTAAGAAAAAAAACAAAACAACAAAACCTAATTATGTTATTTCAATTGCATCATCCTGAAACGAATTCTTGAAAAGAATTATAGGCATGCAAGGCATGATTCTTCTTTAAGACCACACAAATATTTTTCCAAGTTTACTAATTCTACTTTCACTAATAGGGCTTTCCCCACCTCCTCCCCATTTTGCCTCTTCCCTCTCTAAAACAAAAAACCCAACCCAAAACAAAACAAAAAGCTTTTGCAGCCCTTCCTTCCGATGCCCAAAATTGCTTCAATGTGATATATAAAGTATCAACAACTACCCCAGCAATGTGACTTCTAAAAGAAGCACTGGGCATGTGAGCAGGACCTCATTAGTTACCATTCCATGCATTAGTTCTTCCAAAACTACTTCTAGGCACGTTTCAATTTCAGACAGTTGCTCAGACTTGTCCCTGTAAAAACTGGCACATCCATGACTTCTTTTATAGTGACTTGTTTTTAAATATTAGCAAGTTATTTGTCTTAAAATTGAGTAATTCTGTTTTAATTGTACTGATATTTCTTTTCTGTCATGACTCAAAAAAATGACTAAGCATGCCATTTAAAAAAATACCATTTACTTACTGTTCTCTGGCTCATTTTTTCTGTAAACAACATAGATCACATCCCCAGTCTGTAAAGGGTATGTCTGCTTCTTAACCACTTTCAGTTTATTAATTACTGTTCCATTAGTACTGTAAAGAGAAAGAAGAGATAACTTAGCGTAAATGTTTTCATAATTACATAGGAGAAGGAAGGGAAAACACAAGATACTTTTAATGAAGAAAAACTATTGGTTCTCAACAAAAATGTAAGCCAGGATTAAAAAAAAAAAAAAAAAAAAAAAAAAAAAAAAAAAAAAAAAAAAAAAAAAGAGCTACTGGGACTTCAAAGCTCATTTGCAGCTACTGGTAAAGAGATGGTAGCTGACAAACAGATAGACAGACAAAAGATCCCTGACATTTGGCCAATTAGAGGATTGTTTCTGTACAATAATCTTTACCCTTTAACTATTAAACAGGAAAGGACAATAGGCCTTCTATTAAAAAAGTTCTAGGTTATGTTTTCCAATTAACACCGGGAATCTCCCAAGACATTCTGTGACGAAGGAACTTTTCCTGTACAGTCAGGGATGCCACGTGGCATTATTTTTTCTCCCCTCTTGCTTCAAATAGTAAAAAACCTAAAATTCCAAGGTTACTTAGACTGTTTCCGACTCAAAAGCAAGAAGTTAGTAAGGTGGAAAACCAGTTACACATAATTAAAAGATGAATTGCAATGAACTATTTTGATATTGATAAAAACTCCAAGACTTATGGAAGAAATGAAGTGGGGGAAGAGGAAAATGCAGAGCATTGCTGATTAAGGGAGGTATCTCCTTCACTATGGGTGATGTTTTATACACAAGCTATTAGCGTTTTATAACCAAGTTATTCAAGTACTGAATAATCCCAGCTCAGCCTCTATCAGGGCTGCAGCATTCCAGAATTTCAGTCTTCTACCATTCAAAATCTCAGCAATTAGTACCAAATAGAAACGAACGGAGAATCTGCGTTTCCCCCCCAGCTGCATGAAATACCAGCAAAGCTCTGCTGCCACCTCCTGGAGGCCACCGCCTGTGCCCAGGACTGGACACAGCCTGCCGCAAACAGGCCAGCCTCTCTCCAGGGGAGAGGGATGGTTATTCAGAAATAAGCACCTTCCCTTCTCATTATTTGTCTTTTAAAAGGCAACCTGGGAAAACCTCTTGTCATTTAGTAACATGAACAGAGAAAGAAAACTGGAACTTCGTACTGTTGACCTTTTTTTGGACACAAAGTCGAAAGCGTTACATGAAAAAGTAAAAAGGAAAAGCAAACCCTTTTGAATCACTACAGCAAGTCTTGATCGAGGTATCAGTTCTTGCTCTTACCTCTGCAATGGCTTTCACTGTCTACATGGTTGAGTCAACTAATCCAATAACAAGATACAAAAAAATAAAAACGCTATTTTAAACATCAAGAAACACACAAAAATCTTTGGCTCACATCAATACTTGCTCTATTAAAGAATCTTCAAGCTTCTCCTATAAGCAAGAGAACTATTTTAAGCTTGCCTTTTTACCTCAGGCATACAGATGTTGACTAGTCTGAAAGCACCAAAGAACCAGCAGAACAGAGACATCACTAAAAGAATGCCAAAGTTTAGCAATCAAGAGGAAAAAAAAGAATTTTAGTCAGTCTGTTAGAAACTCTACCCATTTTTAACTTAACATTGATGCTAGTGATAAAATATTAAAAAGATTATATCGAAGCAGAAATTGCACCTCCTTCAATTGTCAAAGAAACAGTAAAGCTTACAACAATCCCTGGAACCTGTCAGAGGTCCTTTAACAAAACTAGGAAACAGCAAATTTTACCTCCTTCATTTTCCAGAAGGCAAAACAAAGCATCTCCCATCTGCCCTAAGTGTTTTAGACCGTCTTCTGTAATAAAACGGCTAACCTCGAGTAACAAGAATTGTCTCTTACTGAGGTTTAGCTTCTACAGGCAATTCCTAGTTCCAATATGCCACTAAACACAGGGAAAAAAATGTCACAACAATGTATTTCATGAAGATGCTCTGTCATGACTGCCAAGTTCCAAGACGGTTATGAGGGCCAATAACTCAAGTGAGGTACTCTTGGAAAAAAAGAAAAATCATCACACATCTAGTAACCACTCGTGCTTGGTCTCACGAGGCAAGCTGCAGAAATAGCTACCCAAGACCCTGATTGTCAAATTGATTACGAATAGCCAAATCTTTTCAGTTCTGCACAGTTATACAGACTTCAACGAGAGCTGACCAATGAATTATTTGGCATCCACGGACCCAAATGAAGTAGGAATAAACTGATACCACTTAACACAGAAAACCATAAGCTTTTCTTAAATACATTAGCAAACCAAAGTAGTGGTATTTATATCTCAGCCAACAATCAAAGGGAAAAAAAATATCCAACTACGCCAGATAATTGTATTAGTCTTTCATTTCCAGTTTCAGGCTTTAGCACGAGGCATTTAACAAATAGGGTGACATATCGAATTAATGGCGTGCGTATTTTTTAATCAGACACACATGATAAATTATGACATTTGTACATTCCTCGGACGTCTCAAATTAAACTAAGGTCCCCATAAAATAAGTAGAAAGTACGATGAGAATCCCAAGTATGAAGGACATTCATTAGGACTTAATATTGAACTGATACCAACTGGATGGATGATTTTTGAGGTGGAGAAGAAAAACGGTACTATCAGACATAAATTGTCTGCATTGTGAAACGATGTCACAAAAGGTCCCAATGTCACTTTTCTAAAGAGCGTAAGAAAAAAGTCAGGCCTTGACTCAATTCCAACGTGGTTGATGACTCTACAGTTTGATTAATGAACCAGACATTACCTTTACTTCCCAGTCCCAACTGTTGTGCAGATTTGATGGGAACAGCTACATTTCACTCAGAACAAGCTTACTTTTGAAGTAGGTGAATGATCTGTGTGATGTAAGATACTTTGGTATCCTTCCGAGAAAAACGCCAGTCTGTTACTTTTTAGTAATTACTGCATCCACCCAGGGAAAGAATGTAATTTATGGTAAAGCTTCTGGGTTAATAGTTCTAATAGTTACCTGCTATTTAAATGTATATTATCCTAAACAAATGGTAAACTGAAATGAGTTTTGAATTCTTTTAAGTGACGCAGCACAGAAGGGATTCTGTAATTCTCTATTCTTTTAATGTTCACAGAAATAATTTTGACTGGTAGGGTGAGGAGAATTTAGTAGCAGAAAGGACACCAGCACCAACTGAAGATCAACCTCCGATTTACCCACAGGAAGGGAATATCTGCTTGCCTGTCACATGAGTATCAGCCTTGTGTAAACAGCTTCTTGCTCTGAAACATCACTTACTACTTAGAATACATAAAAAAAAAATCCTAGAAGACAAGAGGAGGTCTTTAAAAAAATTACCTTAGTTGCCTTTAAAATTTCTTTTTCAAAATGGAGAATCTTACAATTGCTTTACTTAGGGCAAGCCAACTACTGCCTCCACTGTGTTAGGTCAGCTTGTATAATTTGTTTTCTTTCAAGCAGTATAAAGCAAGTAGCGCATGGTTTGGAAAATAAAGCAGAAACATACCCCAAAAAAGGGTGAGTCTGCGAATATTTTATTGTACTATTTGCTAACTCTTGGCTTTCGTAACTTCCAAACTTCTATTTACTCAATAATTTTGAGTTCTCTACACATTTTCTTTCACCTGCAAATTTATGGTAATTCTTTCCAAAGTAATCCAAGAACTCATTACGCTACCAGGGAGATAAAAACCAATGTTGGCTGTCTACATATATTTGATGATATTCTTTGGTTTAGCTACAATACAGAAACAAAGTCCACTCAGTTCAACTGTCCCACACTAGCTGCCTCCTTCAATGCACTCCTCCTCACCAGAAAAATCTGAGCTTGACCACAGCAATGTTTCCAAACTATTTTCCACTTCAGAGAAGAAAAAGCTGATATTGCAGCATTTTTCTGGGACTCTGGACATCTGTAGTGCCAACTCAAACATTCAAAAATCTTCTTCTTTCAGCCTGCTTGATTTTTTGGAGCTCATCTGATACTTGACACAAACATTGGAAGGCTCAGAAGAACAGATAGTCTTCTGCAAGTACTCATATCAACCTGTTTAGTCTCTTGATTCAGCAAATGTTAGCCATACTTCATACCAACTCACAGGCAAGTAGAACACATAAAGGATCTTATTCTGTTTTGTTAGATACATAGACTTGTAACCTGCATAAGCAGCTAATTGGTAGCACTCCATAGGTGCAGCCTTTCTATTACAGTACCGCTGTAACAAGCCCCACCTTTTCGTGAATATATCATATAGAAAATTAACTTTAATTTGGCTTTGCTAGTTTTCTGCTGGCTGCACCTTCTGCCTTGGGGGTGTGGGTGTGTGTGGGGGGGTGTGTGTGTATGGAAGAAAAAAAAAAAGGCAGGAATGTTTCTGCATCATTCACAATTTCTTTAGGTTGTATTATCATGACATTGGTCTAAACCAATTCTACCAGCTACATGCACCTGAAACTAGGGACGGTTTCTCAAGCTTAGAGCTACAGCTACGCTCTGAGACTACCATGGTAGGCAAACACGGCCTGATTCATTGTTTGAAAAGTCTTGGAATGTGGGATAACATTGGAGAATGACAATTATAAGCCATTTCCTAGACATCCTAGCTAGGCCTGATATTTTTCCCTAAAATTTAGCATTCCATCCCACAGCTTCTGGGAGTATAAGCCCTCCAGGGATCTATCCTGGTTATTTTCTCTAGCTACAACCTATAAGTGGAGAGGAAATACACCCTCATCAAGCTTGCGGATGACACCAAAGCAGGGGCAGAGCTGGGCTGCCACTCAGAAGCAGTTAGGCAGGCTAGAGGAAAGGGCTGACAGGAGTGTCATGATATTCAACAAGGACAAACCCCAAGTCCTGCACCTGGGATGGAATAATCCCCTGCAACAGCACAAGCTAGAGACCAACCAGCAAGGGTTCTTCGTGGATCTTATGACTAAGCATAAGATCATACACCCTGGACTTATGCCCAGGCTTAAGTCAGCAGCGCACCCCGGCAGTGATGAAGGCCTACAGCACACTTGGCTGTATTAACAGGGGCGTAGTCAGGAATTCAAATTAAGTGATTATTCTTCCCCTTTACTTGGAACTCATTAGTCCACATCTAAAATATTACATCTAGTTTTGGGTCACCTAGTACAAGGAAGGTCTTGATAAACTCGAGCAAGTCCAGCAGATAGCCACCAACGTGGCCAGAGGGCTGGAGCACAAGGCCTATGAGCTAAGGGGCTAGGGAAACTGGGCTTGTTTTGCCTGGGAGAAGACAGCTTGGTGAGCAGGGGACCTAACAGCAGCCTTCCAGTACCTAAGAGGAAGCTACCAAGAAAACAGAAACAGGTTCTTTACTGAGATGATAGAAGTCATAAATTGAAACAAGGAAGGTTCAAACAGATGCAAGGAAACAAACAAGTCACTGTGAGGATAATTAAGGTCTGAAATAAGGGCCCGGAGATGCTACAGAATCTCTGTCCTTGGAGGTTTTCAAGACCTGACTAGAGAAAGCCTAAACAACCTAGTCTAAATCCAGTGGTGGCTCATCTTTGACAGAGTTTGAACTAAGTGACTTCCTGAGCTCTCCTCCAACCTGAATAATTCTATACGTTCTGTTTTACTCAAGGAAATAAAATGAAATGCATAGCCCATGTAAATATCTGGAAGGGAGTTCCTCACCCTGAAAAAGACTCCTTTTAATATCAACACAGCTACTAATTGATCAAGAGACAGAAAAGGACCAGAGGTGCAAAAATTCTGCTGAAAGAAAAATGTCAACTAGAGCTCATACATTCTGCCAGTGCCCTCCAAAAATGCGCACACCATTGAATTACACAGTTCAAAGGTTTTTCAGAATATTCTTGCAGGGATTTTTGTCAAAAGCTCAGCAGGTATGATACTAACCCTGAGCTACCAGAACAATATACTTAATTGCATTCTGGTGTGTTGGAACAGGGATTCAGCATGACACTTTTCAAAACCTCAAACGTGAAATTTCCTCTTTATGTATGTACATCAATATATTTTGAAGTGTCGTCTTCATCTCTGGGTAAAATGCCTTCCAGACATGAAAAATGGGGGAATGGGGGGAGCTGGCAGAAAAGTATTATTTATTTCTTTACTGACTGCAATAACCTGGCAGAAAAAGCATGTGGTTTACAGAAGCATTTTAAAATGTCACAGAGTTCTTGAAATGTAATAAACCAGCAGCTTTTGGCAATCTTAGACAAAAAATCCTGTCAAAAATGAAGCAGATGAAAATTTGAAGAAGATTACGATCTCCTCCTAGGAAATACCCTTCCATTCAAACCCCTATCTCAAATTTTATAAAGGAAACCAGAAAACTAACTAAAATCCACTGGAAACCACCCACCACCCCTGCAGTGCTATTTGTACTCCCACAGCAGCCTTAGAACTCTACAGGAAATAGCCTCACCAGTACAGCAAATTCACTGGCCTTCAGCATGTGAAGAAGTATGTAATTAACTTTATATACTAAAAGTAGTTCCACTAAATTAGCTTAGCTTTTTAACAGTAGTTCTAGTGAAGTATATGCTTATATCTTTCTACACTAAGGGCTTCAGTTCTCACACCCCTAACTTAATGCAGAAACACCCAGAAAAGAAAAAAATCATTCTGGGTAAACAAAAGAAACAAAACTGAAATATCAATAATAGAAATCTAGCAAACATCTTTTATTATTAAATTAGATTGAACAGGCTCTAATCTCCATCTGACATGCCCACCACAACTGCTAGATTACTACAGTACTTATGCTATATAGATTACAGATATTTTTAATACCAGAAAGATGTGTTACAAGTACAGATTCTTACTCCACATCTACTTCATGCTTTGAGATCATCACTGCAGGTATTTTCTTCCTTATACAAGTGTGAATTGAGGCACATTCGTGCTTAGAGCTTTTAAGAATGCTGGCATCACTTTTTTCACAAGTCTAAAGAAATATGATACAGAACTATTACATCAAGTGTTTCTCATCCAGTGGACTATGAATTCCTTTGTAGAGAAAAAAAAATAGTTAGAAAGAGCCAAAAAACCCTCAAACCTAGATGCAAGGGGGAGGGGGGAAACGGGGACAAAAAAGAGAAGGATTTACTATCAATGCCTCCAGCAATACACAAGATTTTACTTCACAGCCTAAAAAGAAGGTAAGAGTAGAAGTTCACAGAAGAACCAACCTTGTATCTTCCAATGACACTTGACCAGATTCTTCATCCACTATGATTTTACAGTGATCTCCAGAAACCAATTTGTTGCCAGGGAAAGATAAGTCACAACCTTAAAAAGAAAGCAGATTTTCCAGTGTGCTTAAAAATACACATTACACAGACAGATCAGCATTCTACATGGCTATAAATGCACAACAAACTGACTCATATACATCTGCAATAGTTCAAAACTTCTACTGGCCTATAGGCAGCAATCTAGTATGCGACACAAGCAGTGAGATAGCCCCATGTGCTGATATCAGCTTATTTCAACCATTTCAAGATGTTTTGGTTCCCTTCCTCCCCCCCAATCCTAGCCCTTACAGATGGAAATCAAATCACAATTACTCTGTTCTAGGGTGGTACAGAGATAAACTCACACGGATTTGAAGTGTTCAGTCTAACCTCTAGAGGCATACATCACAGAGCACCCAGTCCTTTTCCCACATCATTGTAACACTGTTTCATTGGATTTAACTTCTGCTTCATTCTGGTATATTGGGGGGACATAGTAGGAACCGACAGCTGATAAATAAAAGAGTATCACTGTTCTATGTTAAAATCTCTTTCTTTTGTTTGTTTTTAAATAGGAAAATTTTCCTCATCTCTGTTGACAGCACTATTACGTTAATAAAGCTGAAGGGAGATTAAAAATCCAGAACTAAGTCTTAGGGATATGCAGGAGAAGTGTAACGACAATGTCGATGTAATAGAAACCTTCCTACCTACGACTCCAGGGCTCTGAGCAAATCCAGTATTTTTACTTCACTTTAACATTGAATGCTCAAGGTTCCCCACTAATCTTTCTCACAAATGACTCAAAGTACTTGCTTACAGAAATTATAATTAACAAACATGATTCACTTCCACCTATTCACGCTGTGGGTGCACTGTATCTCAGCCTGCAAGAACAACGCATCCAGGAGGAAAGCAGTAACCGCTACACATGCTGGTGACAGTTTATCACTAGTCTACTCCTAATAGTCAAGGAACAATCAACAGCTACAGACTTAACTATGGCCTCACGACTTGTGACGCTAGGAGGCCTGCTGAAAGTGAGCAGGCTAAATTTTATCCAGGAGCATGCCAACATTTCCATTCTGTTCTACAGAGTTAAGACTTCCATATGGGAGCAGGAAGGACAAAATGCTGTAAACAAGCACTTCTAATGCTCCTGAAGACTTTCTAAGTAATACTTATGACCTAAAGCTTGGTACGCTTGTAACCACTCATTTTATTAATCCATTAGCAAACAGTTACGGAAGCAATAGAACACGCAAAAATTCATCTTTTTTCTGCAAGATAATCCTCAACTAGACCTCAATTTGAAGAATTCACCTACAGCTCAGATAACGATAAGCAATCTAAATGTATATTACCAAATGTGAATAGGCAAAACATTTTCCTACAATACATTATCCAAATTCCTCATAGAGCTATAGCATTTGGTGTTTGCTCAAGACTATTTACAGAATGCGACTGGTCAGTCAAATAGCTTGAACTGATGAACAGGAAACTGAAAATCAGTGCTGTCAGGGCAGAGTACAAAAATTAAAACACTGCAATGATTGTTTTAAATACAGTAAGCGTGAAATCCTTTAAAATAAAGGCAAGTAGCGAAAGGCCTAGACTCTGGGGAAAACAGCTTTCAAATCCACTCTCAGAGAAACTTTCAGTACTTGTTGGCAATCTTTATATGGCCAGAAGAATTAAGGGCTTTTATGTGGGCGTTTTCTTTTCTCTGAGGCACAAGCATTTTGCATTGCAGTTCCAACTTATTTTAACCACAGAAACGAAATGGGAACGTAAACAGGACTGATACACAGAAACTCTTCTGAATCAACAATCGTTTTTTCTTATTTGTACAAACTGTCACAGGCCACTTAAAAGGCACATTCACTTTTAAACGTGCGCATGTCACACGTCGGTAAAAAAGAAAAGGTCAGCGTAAAACTTCCTCTTCACACAGAGCCCAGAGATAAGTTAGGACTAAGGGACCGCCTGGCAAGCGCCTCCAACAGCTGAAAGCACCAAACCCGACTAGTTTCAGTCCACCTTCCAGTGCTGTAAAGGGCAGGAGGGGGGCGGCTGCTGTCCCCCGAACACCGCCCGCCGCCAGCGCAGCCTGCCCCGGTCCCACCTTTCTTCCGACCAATTGTCCATTCCCTTTTCAGCAGCAAGACGTGCGGCTCTGCCTCATCAGCACCCAGCCGGATCAGCTTCCCCCAGGGCTGCTGCTGCTGGCTCCGCTCGCCTCCTTCCGAGTGCTCCATTTGGATTCACATCTGACAAAAACAAACAAAGCGACCCCAAGCCCCACCGTCACACGGCACCCGGGGGAGAGCGCTCGCTGGGGGCCGGCAGCCCCCTCCCGGGGGCCGGGCCCTGCGCGCCGCCGCCCCGCACGCCGGGGGCTCCC